TGCTCAATGTTGTCACATGCTGGATAGCGTGTATCATGGCGCTTTGCGGTTTATTACAAATTATGGAGCCCTAACTCATCACTGTCTCTTGTATAAGGTAAAATGGCCGTCTCTGCATGTACGTCAGCTTGACCATTGGTATGTTTTGATTTACGAGGCTATTCTTAAGTTGACAGCACCTTATATTTCATCTTTGTTAACTTTAAACAACACGACCTACAGCCTCCGATCTCAGACTTTTTAGGCCCGAGCAGCTAAGCGCTGCGAAGGCCGCTGCGAAGGCCTATTGTTATTGTGTCGTTTCAAATTTTTTTCCGTCAAAGAGCGCTAATTTGGAGGCCTTAACATATTCGAAAACTCACCATATTTGACCCAAAATTGTCCCCCGCGAGAAATTTGAGGTATTTAATGGAACCAAAAGTGGGCGTGGCCAAACTGCTCCACAGCGCCCCCTAACGTGAGATATGACAACTGGTAAGACCTAGAGAGCTGAAATTTGGTACACATGTACAACCCACTGAATCATGAAAAAAAGTCTCTTGGAGGTATGCCTTAAACCCAAAAGGAAGTCGGCCATTTTGGGTCAAAGGGTCAATTTTGGCCGTTTTTCGCTTTTCGTACACGGCGAATTTGAACGAACTCCTCATAGGGATTTCGCTCAATCGGTTTCAAACTTGCGCCATTTTGCTCAGTAGGCATGGGGGACCAAAAGTTATCAAAACGGTGCAAACCGACGTATGTTGAGGGGGCGGGGCCGGACCTCAAAATTATGCTTCACGCCAAAAATTTCCAAACGCTACAACTTTCACGTTGAAAAACAGAATTGCACCAAATTTGGCATGAGTCATCCCTGTCCAATGCCCGACGATACCCTGAGGTCAAATTTTGACGTCATCAAAGCCCCGCCCCCTCACAACAGGAAGTGACTTTTTTTGCTTGGAATGCTCCTTCCCTGACACTCTGGACCCAATCACGATGATCCTGTGTTAGAAGGCAGACAACAAGTTGGTCTGACTTGCTTTGAAGCGCAAAGCGTTTCCGCTGGAGGATGTGGGCGTGGCGGAGTGGCGAAGTCAGAAGTGACGCCGTGACAATACGTTTGGCTCTAAATTCCACAGATTTGATCCGAGGTTCATCAAAATCACTACGATCGATCATTGCCCGCACCTTGAACAGGAAGCCATGATAATTGCGCAATAGCCTCTATAGCGCCCCCTAGAATATTTTAAAACCTCGGCCCCAAGACATTTTTCGACCGATAATTCTGAAACTCGTTGAACATGTGTATCTTCTCAGGACCTATGAAAAAGTCTCTTGGAGCTCAGGTCCAAAACCAAGAGGAAGTCGGCCATTTTGGGTCAAAGGTTAATTTTTGGGCGTTTTTAATGGCGAATTTTAACGAACTCCTCCTAGGGATTTTGAAGGATTGCCTTCAAACTTGGTTAATAGACCTTTAAGACATTGGAGAGTAAAAGTTATCAAAAGCTTTCAGTTTCGTTTTGTTAAAGGGGCGTGGCCAGGCCTCAAAGTTGAGCTTAACGCCATAAATTTCCAAACGTTATAACTTTCAACTTGAAAAACAGATTTGCACCAAATTTGGCACGAGTCATCCCTGTCCCATGCCCGACGATACCCTGAGGTCATATTGTGACGTCATCAAAGCCCCGCCCCCTCAGAACAGGAAGTGACTTTGTTTAATTGGAATGCTCCTTCTTTGACACCCTTAATCTAATCAGGATGATCCTGTGTTGGAAGACAGATAACAAGATGGTCTGACTTGATTTAAACTACAAACAGTTATAGCTGGAGGATGTGGGTGTGGCGCCATGGCGAATTAAAAAGAGACGCCGTTGCAATACGTTTGGCTCTAAATTGCACAGATTTGAGCCCAGATGAACCAAAATCACTATGATTGATCATTATCCACATTTGAACAGGGTTCCATGATAAGTGGCCAAGAGCCTCAACAGCGCCACCTATATTCTTCTTACAGTTATATCTCAGTGATACAACATCCAATCTGAACCAGATTTTTGGTGCGTCATTACTGAGAACTGATGGACATTTTAGTTTTGTTGTTTAATATTTGACTCAAGTGCGCCCCCTAGATTATTCAAACTGTTTTGTCTCAGTGATATATCAGCCGATCTGCACCAAATTTATGGTGTGTTATTATTTAGCCCTGGTGGACACAGTAGTAATGTTTTTTAAATTTTGACTCTACAGCGCCCCCTACAATATAGCAACAGTTATATCTCAATGATAAATCATCCGATCTGCACCAGATTTTTGTGGCATAATGTGTGACCATGTCTACACACATTGTTATTGTTGTTTAATATTTGACTCAAGTGCGCCCCCTAGATTATTCAAACTGTTATATCTCAGTGATATGTCATCCGATGTAGACCAGATTTTTGGTGTGTGATAAGTGAGCACTTAAACACGCAATGGTATTGTTGTTTTACTTTTGACTCAAGTGCGCCCCCTACATAATTCAAACTGTTATATCTCAGTGACATATCGTCTGATCTGCACCAGATTTTTGGTGCTGGACTAGTGAGGACTTATGGACACAGTTGTGTTGTTGTTTAATATTTGACTCAAGTACGCCCCCTAGATTTTTTAAACTGTTATATCTCAATGATATATCATCTGATCTGCACCAGATTTTTGGTGTATTATTATGTAGTCCTGATGGACACATTAGTAATGTTTTTTAACTTTTGACTCTAGAGCACCCCCTATAATATTCTAACACTTGTATCTCAATGATATACCATACGATCTGCACCAGATTTTGGGTGCATCATTAGTAAGCAGTTATGGACACATTAGTAAAGTTTTTTAACTTTTGACTCTAGAGCGCCCCCTATAATATTAAAATAGTTATATCCGCAGTCGCAGCTGATGTCAAAGGTTCGGCGAATGCACATTCCGGAGAACGGGCGCGTGACGGTTGCGTGAGCGTTCTCGATGGCGACCGGGAGGAGTCGCTGGAGTTCCCGCGGTCGCGGTAAGGCCGCAGCGGTGCTTCGCTGCGAGGGCCTTGAACGCTGCTTGCAGCTTTAATTAAATTTTAGTGTTCCTCGTGTCAGTACAGAAAGGGACAAGAAAGCCTTTAGCGTTTCTGCTCCAACCTCATGGAACAGTTTGTAATTAAAGCTTAAACTTGGAATGTATTTAATATCATGATAGATCCCTTTTTACTCAAGTTGCAGAAGTGTAATTGTTTTAATTGAGTCGTTTGTTATTTAAGTCTATGTTTATTGTGACTATGTGTTGTAACTGTGTTTTTTACTGTCCCCCCCCCCCTTCCCCCTTTCTGTATGCTGTCAGTCTTGGCCAACTCTCTCTTGTAAAAGAGATATTTTTTATCTCAATGGGACAAACCTGGTTAAATAAAGGTTATGATGATAAAGGAACATTTCAGAAACTACATTCTCAACATCGTTTCTTGGTCACAGGTTCCTCAACAAAAGTTCGATTGGTTTCATTTGACGCTCTCTGTTGTGCTTTCGACATCATAATCAAAGATTACTGAGAAAAATTAAATTGATAAAAGTATTTTAAGTTTTATATACCATCTTGGGGGCCAGACAAAATGTCGATGAGGGCCACATTTGTCCCCCGGGCCTTGAGTTTGACACGTGTTAGAGTTTAATAAAACCCAAAGAGAGTTGTTCAGTTATGAGCTATCGTTTGTAGTAACAGACATGTTTATGTGAAGCCACCATTTTGTGACACTGTGCCTTTAAACTAGTTTATTATTATTAATATTATTATTATTATTAACTTCAAAAATGTCTTACAGTTTGGTTTAAGACACTTCTGAGGCCCTAAATAGGTAAGGTTATGTGGTTTCTGTCCTCATTTTAGTGCAAAGTAATATAACTGTGCTAGAAAAGTATGAACTTGTACTAGATGAGTTTTGTCCGCTCAACCCCCTGCTGGTCGAGGCAGATGTCCTCCCAAACTAAATATGTGGAGTTTTCTTCCTGGTAAAAAGAACATTTGCCCTTGTGCTTTCTCATGATAGAGAATTCCATCAAAGGGAAGATTTGATGCTGCTAGTTTTCGAGACAACTATTTTATTTTTGGCATTTTGTCATTTAATAAATCTAACTTTATTGTATTTTAAGTGGACTGAACATACTGGTTATGATTTTCAGCTGCCCCTGGAAAGCAAATGTGGGCAATACCCTTTTTGCCTGTGTGTATGTGTGCATTAGTTGCCAAAATATCTCATAAACCACAGGACAGATGCATTTTATTGATACGTACAGAAATTAATCAAATATTTTGTTGATTACATCTATATTTTGGTGGGTTTTCTATTGATGGGTGTCTGTCTGGCTGTATGAATGTATGCATGTATGTATGTAATGTATGTATGTATGTATGTATATATGTATGTATGTATGTAAAGTATGTATGTATTTATGTATGTATATATGTAAAGTATGTATGTATGTATATATGATTGTAATGTATGTATGTATGTATGTATGCATGTAAAGTATGTCTGTATGTATGTATGGAT